TGTTTTAACAAGTTCTCTAGGTGGTTTTGATACTTACTAGTGTCCAAGAACCAGTCTTGTCGAGATTGAGACTGTCCCAAGAGGAGGTCAGGCAGTGGCTCCGGTTCAGCAATACTAATTGAAGGGTACCCACCTGAAAAGATATCTCATGGATCCTGACTCCCTAACCAGCTGGGATTCTTGGAAGCCTGAACCGACTAAGCCTGAGGGGCCAGCTGGGGACCCTGCTGCTCCATCCCCATGATGACTGCAGACCCACCCCTCGCCAGATCTACACCTTGGTGGCAATGATGACTGCTGTCATTGTGGTGCATTTACACAGCTTCTTTCTCAAAGGAGCTCAAAGTCTTTTGTGGTTGGGGAGGAGACAGACAGACAGATATGCACTCTCTGGCATTCCAGACCTCTCACGCGAGGACAAGCATGTGCCAGACATTCATCCTTCCACAGTCTCCTGAGGGAGGCATGGCTTGTCATGCCAGAGGAGGGGACATCAGACTGGGGGGAGGTCAGTGACTCACCCAAAGTCACACAGCATGTCTGCAGGACAATTGGGCCTTGGATCTAGGACTCCCCACCTCCCCCCACCCTCTGCAGAGCTTTGCCAGGACCACCAGCATCAGAGTTGAAGCCAGAGTTGGGTGGGCTGAGAGGATATCCCAAAATAGCCGATTTTAACCGATTCTTCTTTTTCTCTCTCTCTCTTTTTTTTTGGAAAGAAATATTCATTTCTTTCCCATTGTAGGCAAAGCTTCACATCTATTCCCTTCCTGATTGCCATGGCAATCTGACAGCTGTCTCACTATCCAGAGGAAGGGGGCGGAATGATGATCTCCTGCTTGGATAGGCACTTGTCAGTGTGAATGGAACCTTTCTTGGGAAGGTGGGGACTGGCTTGAACTGTTGAACCATTCCATTTTTAAGGTCACTCGGGAGGTAAGACACATACTCTTAATTTTAGGAAAATAAAGTGTACAGTGCAACTTCATTATTTTCCTGTCACTGGAGTATTGCAGAGCTTTATAACATGTTCACACAGCACCCCGAAGGAGCCTCTTTTCTGTTTTATAGGACATTCCAATCCGTTTGTCTGGGACTGAATGGTTCTGTTTTGTTTTCTGGTACCTTTAGGGAGTGTACATAAGAAAACCTATAATGCAAATGGAAGTATCCCTCCTGGGCCCCTTATCCACTTGTGGTGAAGGAACCAACAAGGCACAAGAATCAACACGATGTTTTTCTTGTTTCTGAAAGATCACAGACTCCACAACTGTGGAGAAGAGAGAGAGAAGGCTCTGTGTGATTGACCAAAGTCCCCTTACCCCAAGCTAAGTGTTAAGAGTAGAGTCCCATTCATCTGGGAATGGGTTGGATCACAGGGCATGGTGTCAGGGAAAGCGAGGAGGAAACCTCTTGGCTTACCAACAGAGCAGTCAGGACCCATCCAGTTGGGATCGCAGCTGCAGAGGCCCGTGTCAGGGAGGTAAGTGCCGTGCCCACTGCACTGGTCTGGGCACTGGACCCTAGCCAGTTCACAGTTTAGGCCACCCCAGCCAGGGCTGCAAAGGCATTCTCCATTCACACAGACCCCATGGCTGGAGCAGGTGGGATCCAAGCAATCAACTGGAAAAAAAAACAACAAAAGACAGAGAAAAAGTATTGATTACTCATGGGAGATGGGCCATGAGCCATGGGCTTACTGCTGAGTGGACCAGTGGTTCACCAGTTCCCATCCACTTGCAACCAAGTGGAGCAGTCCAGGTAATACTTATGTGATCTCTCAAAGACACCCATAAAAAGGCTTTTTTATTTGTCAGAACACCAAATCTCAAACTTAAAGAGGATGCAGGAGAAAAAAAGGATTTCTCAAGTAGAATTAGGAGAAATCAGATATGGTGATTCCACTTTGAGAACCTTGTACTTATGAACATTGGTACCTCACCTGAGTTATATCTGAGTTTCTGCTATTGGAATGTGAATATCTGTGATGTCTCTACATGTTTTGCCAACCTGATTACCCATTGCTGTAAAAGAGAAAAGTAGAGAGGCTCATTCTAATTTCACTACTACTTTACTTCAAAAGGTAATAAAATTTTTTTAAAAATGAAACTCATAACTGAGTCACTTTCCTAATTAAGTTTCACTTAGGCTAAGTCTAAAATTAGTTTTCATTACTGAGTACACACTTACCAAAGCAGTTAGTAAATGAGCAGGATAGAAGAAGTGAAGTTGGGTGTGGAAATAATCTGAAAGGGGTAACCTTCCTACAGGTGCTCATGAGTGGAATGGATGGTGGTACTGACCTTCCACGAGACAGTCAATCTGATGAGTTAATGGTCAGATTGCAGTCATTCTGGTTCTTGACTGTTTCATGCCCTGATTGTTTATTCATGATCTGAATAAGCAGAGTGGATGTATATGCAGTAGGTAACTTGATCAGGAATCAACCCAAAGTGAGGAAGAGTGAGCTGCAAAAGTCAGTTCTTCAGGACAGAACTCTTTGCATGAGAATTTGATCTCAAGCCTTGGACCTCCATCCAACCTAAGGGTTGGGTGAATAGAGCTTTTTGGAGGAAGAACAGCTTCCCTAGGGATTCTTAGGAAATAATGCAATGGCACTTGGAGAAGAGAGCTCTGTGCAACGTGGGGTTTGAATGGAGACTGATGCTTTTTTAGAGGGCTCAGATGTTACCTTGTGGATTAGAGAAATGTGGAGATCTTGTTACCATATTTGATTAAGACATACATTTCTTCCATTTTAACAGCTTTAAAAGCAGGCCTGTTGGCCTAGATTAACGCATGGCTTCTGCCATCACCTGGAGGCACAGCCAGCTTGAGACCACTTTAAATTCTTTTCTTGATGTTTTTGGACCGCATTGACAGTGTAATTCAATTCCTCACATGTATGCGTGCCATCTTGTGGTTCAAGTTCTGAGATGATTTTGTTTTCTTTCCTTGCCAAGATTGAAATATGCAAGACTTTTGGTCTTTAAATAGTTCACCATTACGCTGAGATGATAATCCCTTGGGGTCCCAGCTTTTTGTAGGGTCTCCTATTACATTCCTCATGGTGGGTGTCCTTTTTTCTTTCTTACAGAGCACAAGATAATACACACACACACACGCACACACACACACATTTTTTTGTGACTGGCTGGTACACCACACTCTAAACAACTGGGCTAACTGGCCAGCCCAAAATAATGGTGTGTTTTAATATTGATTATATGTTGCCTCTAAATATGACATTATTTAGATTATCCATGCCACAAACTAGTCCTGGGGGACACTGGACTTGAGGAATTTGGATTTATTAGAAATCACAATATTTCAGGAAGCTTCCAAAGAGCACCCCTCCCTTGAGGCAAAAACAATAATTTTTAGTGTTAAAAGATGTTTCTCAGGATCTCACTTGTATATTCTCAGGAAGAAATTATTTATGGAAGTCAGTTCAAAACTGTTTGCACCATGGGGAAAAGCAGTGATTAAAAAAAAATCAGTACATTCTCTGAAAGGTGAATTTTAGTGATTTACTATATTTATGGAAGTCAGTTCAAAACTGTTTGCACCATGGGGAAAAGCAGTGATTAAAAAAAAAATCAGTACATTCTCTGAAAGGTGAATTTTAGTGATTTACTCTCAGTTGGAGATGTTCATGATGATGTTACTTTATCTTGCTACAATCACTTTAAAGTTGAATTCATGGGTAATATAACTCCTGATGAGGTAAACCTTTCCAATAGCTTCAAATTTGCTCCACCGAGGGTGGAAGAGCACACCTGAATGTGGATGTGACATTTACAAAGGGGCCGCACAGTGCCTCCAGTTTCTCATGCCTCGCATGGTTGAGGGAATATAGTAGGTGTTCAATACACAGTTGCTGCAAGAATAAGTGGCAGACGTTGCTATAAGCATTTGTCCTTAGTAGGACAAACTTCCAATGTGAAGGACTGATAAGAAAGAGAAATGGTGTTGACGATTTCTTGCTTTTGGAGAAATTTTACATTTTGGGATCTGCAAAATATAAACTAACTCATTTATAATCAATCATGTTCATATTCTTCTAATAAAGGAAATCCTGAAGTTCTAGTTTTTTATTTTGTCTCGATTTCTAATGTAGCAAAATCAAAATATACACAAAAATGTCGTATGTGTTATTGCTTTAAAAATTGCTCTCAGTCTATAATTAGCCATTTAAAATGTATGGTGAGGTGCCAACAGCTAGGAGCTTTTAAAAAATGTATCACAATCTTTTTCTTAAATGAATAAAAAGAAATATAGCAGAAAAAAATTAAAATGACATTTTTCTTCTAGATAAATTAGCTCTTTCTTCTCTATCCTGAATTATGGTATACAAGAAATGAGGAAAATCCAGTGCCCACTGCTAGAATGTCATCAAAAACCCACTATGGTATCAAGAAATATGAGTTAACTCTTTCTCTGGTCAGTGGTACCAATAAATATGCACCTTGTGCTTTATAATTACTGTAGCTGA